GAAACCCTGTCTTGAAAAAAAAAACAACAAAAAAAAAAAAAAACAAAAAAAAAGTAAGGAAAGGCGAGCGGGAGAAAGGGATGTTCCTGACATCTTGTCTGTAAATGAGAACACAACCTATTGCCCTTCTCTATGACCCTGAACTATATCCTAGAAGAAAAAAGAAAAAAAATGGGTACAGGGTCAGCAAGATGGCTCAGTGAGTAAAGTGCTTGCCCTACAAGCCTGAAAGCCTCAGTTCAAGCTCCAGAACTCACGTAACAGTGAAAGGAAAAGGGAATCTACGAAGTTTTCCTCTGACTTCCACACCCACATAGAGACACACACATTTGTTTTACACACACACACACACACACACACACACACACACAAATAGATAAATAAACCAACAAATCTAAGTCAGTAAATAAATAAACAAACTTAAAGGGACTGAAGAAGGGCCAGAGTGAGAAAGGTTCACCACACACTCAGTAGCCAATACAATACACAAGCCTGTGCCAAAGAAAGGTGGCCCTGAAGATCACAGTCCTTCCAAGCCCTGACACTACTGAGAAGGCCACTGACAGTGCAGGATGGGACCTGGACACTGTCTTACTTCTGAGAAACATTTAATCAAGTAGACATATATATGGCTTTAGAAGTAAAGATTCTGGGAGCTGGAGAGATGGCTCAGGGGTTAAGAGCATTGACCAGAGGTCCTGAGTTCAATTCCCAGCAACCAGATGGTGGCTCACAGCCATCCATAATGAGATCTGATACCCTGTTGTGGCATAGAGGCATGCATGCAGACAGAACAATATATATATACATATATATATAAATATATATATTATATATATTAAAATAAATTTTTAAAAAAGAAGTAAAGATTCCTTCCTCTGAAAAAGGAACAGGCTATGTGGCAAGGCTGTGCCTTAGAAGACACACCCCAACTTCTGCTGTGGACAAGCACAATGTACCCAACTTCTTTTTGTATGACTGATTAAGATTAGTTCATGATAGAAAAATCATACAAATTTAAGAGGACTCCTCCTTTCTGCCATTGTGCAATGGCTCACAATTGGAATCCCAGCACCCACAAGACTGAGGTACACTAACCTTGGGTATGAGACAAGCCTAGGCTACACAGTGACGCCTATCTCAAAACAGCAAAACAATAAAATAAAAGCATCCTATTCAGCCAGGTGTTGGTGGCGCACGCCTTTAATTCCAGCACTCGGGAGGCAGAGGCAGGAGGATCTCTGTGAGTTTTGAGGCCAGCCTGGTCTCCAGAGCAAGTGCCAGGATAGGCTCCAAAGCTACACAGAGAAACCTGTCTCAAAAAAACAACAAAAAAAGTATCCTATTCTATTCTAGCCTTTTTCAAATCGCTGTACTGGCCATGCCCTTCCAATACCCCCTCTTTCAGTAGACATGGAGCACCCTCTGTGCCAGAGGTGATGCGCATGTGTGGGAAACCTCTAAAGGTGCACTGTAAGTAATCAAGACACAAAAAGCAAACTACGCCTATCCCACTGAGCTTAGGAATAAAGAATAAAGATTCTAAGACACTAGGCAAAGAAAGACTTGATTAAAAAAAAAATGGATTTACCCAGAGGCAAGACAGAATTCTATGAAAGACAAAGCAAAATACTGCAATTCAATCTTAGACCTTGTGAGAAAACCAGCTCTACCCACCTCCTCTTTGTCTGAGGGAATTTGTGTACGTTCACTGTCTTCACACTTATACAGATAACTTAAACATGAATGTCAAAAGCTACGTCGTTACGTTTGACCCATTTTCCTTTTTACGAAGTAAAAAAAAGCTTCTAAAGTGGAAGAAATGTGGGATATAAATGGGTATTACTGAGCAGTTATCTGTCTGTGTTCAGGACTCTAAAGTATTTAAGGCAGTAATATTTGTCTGTGCCAGAAAGTACTTCCTGAAACCACAGGGCACATAAATCAAAAGGCTACCAATAGGCTTTCAGATTTTGCATATTCCCCAAAGCATCTTTATGCTTTTCTACATTTTGGTAAAAATTATTATAGATGGGGCACTCCAGCTTTTTTGTTGTTGTTGTTTTGTTCCATGTCGTTACACACTGAGTTCAAGGCCAAGCAGGGCTACATGAAGATTGCCTCAAAAAAATGAAATAAGCCGGGCCGTGGTGACACACACCTTTAATGCCAGCACTCGGGAGGCAGAGGCAGGTGGATCTCTGTGAGTTCAAAGCCAGCCTGGTCTATAGAGTGAGTTCCAGGACACTTAGGGCTGTTACACAGAGAAACCCTGTCTCAAAAAAACAAAACAACAACAACAAAGCTCTTCTGGACTCCTCAGGCACCAGAAGAGTACATGGTACAGGCAAAACACTCACATTCATACACATAAAATAAAATACAGATCCTTTTTAAAATAGCCTTAATCTATTTATTCATCAAGTGCTCCCTACAACTGTCTCATGACTGACTTATTTTATTTGCCCTTTCCCAAACTCACACCTATAGTTTTTGTTTTTACTTTATGTGCACGTGTACATTCGTATGTAAACAGGTGCACGTGCACATGTATATGTGTGCATACAGAGACCAGAGGTCAATCTCAGAGCTTATTCCTCGGAGAGCCATCCATGTCATTTATTAAGACAGGGGCTTCAGAACTTGCTGAATATGCTAAGCTGGCACACTAGCCAGTAAGCCCCAGGAATCTGCTTGTTTCCACCTCCCCAGCAATGTGATTTCACATTGTTTATTTGTTTGTTTGTTGTTTTTTCAAGACAGGGTTTCTTTGTGCAGCTGTACCGGCCCTGGAATGTGCTCTGTAGACCAGGTTGACCTCAAAATCAGAGATCCGCCTGCCTCTGCCTCCTTTGTCAGGGGATTAAAAATGTGGGTGACCACCACCCAACCACATTTAGCTTTTTCAAGTGAGGATTCTAACATCAAACTCAGGTCCTCATGCCTGCACGGTAAGCACTTTACTTACTGAGTGAGCTACCATCCAAGCTCTAATTTTTATTTTTACTTTAAGACAGGGCCTTGGTATGGCACGGAAGCTGGTCTCAAAGTTACCACCACTCTGCCTTAATTTCCTGAGTTGAGATGACAGGTATGTACCACTATGCCTCCATGCATTTGCACTTTTTAAAACCTCAGTTTATAACAAGTATCAGAGGACCAAGGGTCAAGGTCATCCTTAACCACACAAGTTTGAGGTTAACACAGAATATATGATACCCTATCTTGTAAGTTTTTTTTTTTCTTTTTTAAGGAAAAGAGTTTAAAGGGGGCTGTAGCAGATGACCTGATTGCTCTGTATGGGGAATCAACACTTAGTTTTCAGAAGCAAAGATTTTTGGTGCTTGTGTTGTAATCCAGGCAAACCTGGCCCGCCTCTCACCCACCTGCCATGGCAGATGTGTGTACCCTGGCTCTTTAAAAGAAAGGTCCACCCACTTCCGTTCTCTTTCCTGCTGTTCCCCTCGGGCAGACAGGACTTTTCCTGTCTCCTGCTTTTCTTCTGTGCCTGTGTCTCTTTACCTCTTTTCTACCACCCCCCCCCCACCTTCCTTGTCGGATGAAACTTCTCACTTAAGCTCTGTCTGCCTGATGTGTTTGTCCCTCACCCACCATGGAATCTGGTCCCCCACACGCTTTCTCCTAACAACTTGGGCAGATGATCAACACTGCCCATTTTGTGTCTTGTTCTGTTTTCAAACAGGAGAAAGTGAGATGCAAAGCAGCATGTGTCTGTCTTTCTGCTTCCTGATTATAGATGCAATGCAGCCAGCAGCCTGATGCCCCCATACACCCTCCAACACCCACACACATGTCTTTCCTGCCACAATGGGATCGCACCCTCAGACTCTAAGCCAAAATAAATCTTTCCTTCCTTATGTTGTTTTGTCAGGTATTTTTTTTTTGCAGCAATAAACAAAACAATTAATGCAGATGGATCACTAGTGACACACAATTATTTTAGTATGTCACATTATCCCTATTGTAATAAGAATTCCACTGTGAGGCTGTAGCAGAAACCAGTCTGAAGAAGAAAAAAAAAAGTAACTCTGCTTTATTACAAAGTAGAGGCAAAAAGATAGTAGTGTCTACTCCTATCTAAAGTAATATTTTGCCTATACCCCCATATAAAATAATTTAGTAATACAAGTGCAAGGTAAACAGCTTAAGCAGTTTAATAGAGAGACAAGATAGAAAGAAACGACTTTTTGAGTGTATGTTGACTACACTTCATTTTTCAAGATAAGGGCACTATATAACCAGGCTAGCCTGGAACTCACTCTGTAGCTCAGTCTGGCCTCAAACTTCTTCCTGCCTCAATGCCCCATGATTTATAGGTGTGTACCACCGTGCCGCAGTTTACTGTATATTACAATTATAACCAATGCTCAAATCAAATATTTCAATTAATGAGAATAAAGGGGGGGTTGTTTGTTTTTGTTTTGTTTTTTTTCTTTTGGTTTTTCGAGACAGGATTTCTCTGTGTAGCTTTGGAGCCTGTCCTGGAACTTACTCTGTAGACCAGGCTGGCCTTGACCTCAAAAAGATCCACCTGCCTCTGCCTCCCTCATGTTGGAATTAAAGGTGTGCATCACCACCAACCAGTTAAGAAAATAAATTTTAAGAATATCTTAGCAAGCGCAAATTGTATTTAATAAAAGAAATCAAAGCAATCTTGGGGCTTTAAAGTTACATTTTACTTCAGAATTTAGTAAAAATCAATATTTATATCTTTACTGTCATAGAATCTAAACTTGGTAAGTACCATCAACACTAGCTAAATTACTTAAGCTATTCAGGTTCTCTCAATTATAAAGAGTGAAATGAACAGTCCATATTTAAGTACTGCAGCAAAGAGTCCTAAGTGGAAAACATTCACTAGGTCATTCTGAATGGCAAAGTTCAAAGTGTTAGGATGCAGATGCTCATTTATTCTAACCACGTGGAGGAGGAGGAAGAGACGGTAAGTTGTGCACTGATGGAAAACAACTTGTACTCACTGGTCGAGTTGCCTTGCATCTGAATGATGCACTTAGACTCCTTGCTGGTCTCTCGAGAATTGAAGGGCCTCACTCGAACAGCCACCTTCACTGAGGCTCCCGACATTCTGGTGGCCTTATAATATATATGCAATCCAGAAATAAAAGCCAAATCTTCTTTTGAAGTTATGTTCAAGGTTCCTTTAAAAGAGAAATATTGTACACAAGGTCGTCAGAATTAAGGGACACACAGGCTGACTCATGAGCACTGTCAGTTCTATTCCTAAAAGCCTATCTATCCTTTTCCTCCTCTACAAATCTTATTCATTAGAGTAACTTAGCAAACAATAAAGATGGAAGCTCCTTTTCTTATCCTATTACTTTTCTCAAACCCTAAAAAGTCTCTAACTGATTAATGAAAAATAACATGCAAAATAACAGGCATCAATCTTTGTCTTTGGGTCAATCTCCAGCAATAAATAAAAAAACAAAAACTTCTGTCCATTGAAGGAATTCCTTAAAAATAAAAGTTTAACTCACTCTGTAGACCAGTATGACCTCAAACTCAGAGATCCACCCCCCTCTGCCTCCCAAGTGCTGGGATCAAAGGCGTGAGCCACCACCACCCCACTAAAAACACCATTTATTACTTTAAGGAAAGTTGGGGAATTTTCTCTGGAAACACTTAGCTCTAGTTTGCTCCTTTAGCTACATACTGAGCTTCCTCACTATGACACTGACAGACGCTTCTCTTTGACCCTCAAGGCCCCCGGCACAACAATCAGGAGATCTGCCAGTAACTTGTGAGTTGAATCAAATCACCAAGCAACCATAGGAAAAACACAAACACTTCAGACAGAGGAAGCTTCTCTCCACAGACCAAAACTAATGCAATCCCATAGGAAAGAAATTAAAACATAATCCATGGGGGTTGGAGAGATGGCTCAGAGGTTAAGAGCACTGGCTGCTCTTCCAGAGGTCCTGAAGTTCAATTCCCAGCAACCACATGGTAGCTCACAATCATCCACTATGAGATCTGGTGCCCTCTTCCAGTGTGCAGATAGACATGGAAGCAGAATGTTGTATACATAATAAATAAAATCTTTTAAAAAATAAAAAAAAAGTAATCCACAAGTAATTTCCAAAAGAAACAACCAATCTCTTGACTCAGGAAGAAATTTTTATTCATTATATCTTCAAGAAGAAACAAACAATACCAGGCAGCGGTAGTGCAAGCCTTTAGTCCCAGCACTTTGAGTTCTAGGACAGCCGAGGCAACACAGAGAAACCTTTACTTGAAAAATAAAATAAAATAAACAAAAAGCTAAAAAGTGTTGAAGAGTTTAAATATCACAGAACCTAGTAGAACTTTAAAATGACCAATATTTTATTTAAAAAAACAAAAAAAAACAAAAAACAGCTCCCATATCAGAACATCTTTTTACTTTTTTGAAGTTATGATCAATTTTGAGCCATTGAGAAATTACATTTCAAGGTATGTAAGATGAATGTATTCTAAATGTTTAAGATTATGTCATTTTTACTCTTCTTTCTCCCTCCAAATCCTCCCACACCCCATTCCATCTTTCAAATTCATAGCTTTCTTGTTATTGCCTTCATGCGTGCATGCGTATGTGTATGTGTGTCTCTGCCACACAGAGTCTTAAATATATAAACACACCTGCTCTGTATAATGTTACTTCTATGAATAAGTTTTCAGGGCTGACCATTTGGTTTTGGATAATCAATGGATGTGCTCTTCGGTGATAATATTATTTCTCTTACTCTCAGCATTGTTTAGTTGCCTATAGTTCCATGCTAACATATCTCTTGGTGAGCAGGATGTGATGGTGCACACCTTTAATCCCAGCACTCAGGAGGCAGAGGCAGGTGAATCAACCTAGTCTACAAACTGAATTCCAGGATAGTCAGGGCTCCAAAAACCCCAAAACTAAACAAAATATGTCTCGGCGTCATCCCTCTTCAGCTTATGTCTAAAAAGCTATATTGTTAAGACTTCATGGATGTAGCTTCTTTGACTTTTCTGGGAGACAAAATCTCATAGCAAACTGCCTGTTCTGGCTCTTACAATCTTTTTGTCCCTCCCTCTCCACAACGATTCCTGAACCTCAGATGTAGGAGTTGTGTTGTAGATACATCAGTTAGGACTGGGTTCCATAAAACTCTGTATTTAGATCAGCTGTGGCTTTCTGTAATGGCCTCCATCTGTTGCAAAGAGACGTTTCCTTGATGAGGGGTGAGAACTATACTAGTCTGTGGGTATAAGGATATTTAGAAGGTAACTAAGGAATATACAGGTCTAGTAAAGGGACAATTGTAGGTTCTCTGGCAAGATCTATGACTTCTACCTCTAACCTGCAGAAGTGTTGACGAGGTTTCCAGTACCAGGCACAATTTCCTTCTTCTTGTTGTTTTCCTTTGTTTTATTGAGATGGGGTCTCTCTATGTAGCTATAGCTGTCCTGGAACTCACTGTGTAATCCTGGCTGGTCTTTAATTCACAGAGAATTGCCTGCCTCTGCCTTCTGAGTAATGGGATTAAAGGCATGCACCGTCATACCCAGCCTTACAATTGAGTAGGTCTTAAACCCAGTGAGTCCCCGAGATGTCCCTGTCCCAATACTGGGATTACAACCACCACACTCAGGTCTTTTTACATGGTTTGCAGACTGAATTCAGATCCTTAGCCCTTTACTGACTAAGCTATCTCTCCAGCTCACTTTTTTTGCATGTCTCTGCCTCCGAAGTGATAGGATTAAAAAGCATGTGCCACCAGACCAGGCTCTTTTTGTTTCTTTTCTTTTTAATTTTTACTTATTTATGCATATGAGTGCTCTATCTGCATATATAAATGCCTGGCAGAAGAGGGCACCAGATCCCACTATAGATGATTGTGAGCCACCATGTGGTTGCTGGGAATTGAACTCAGAACCTCCGGAAGAGCAGCCAGTGCTCTTAACCTCTGAGTCATCTCTCCAGCCCTTGTTTTGTTTTTCAAGACAGGGTTTCTCTGTGTGGCCCTCGCTGTCCTAGAACTTTCTCTGTAGACCAGGGTGGTTGGAACTCAGACATCTACCTGCCTCTGCTCCCAAGTGCTGGGATTAAAGATGTGGGCCACCCCTTCCTAGCTTTGTTGTTGTTGTTTGTTTTTCTTATTTTCTTAATAATATAATCACTATTTGAAAATTTTACTTTTGGGAAATATCTTCTTTCTTTCCGTTTTTCTCACCAACCCAAACTGCTCAGAGGTCTCTTGTCACAGGGTTAGCACCTAGGACAGTGTCTAATGTGAGAGCTCAGTACCCACTAATGGTGGAGACAGTGTGTTTAAGTCCTCACTAGGGTTGATGACTTTTGTTTCAAGTTATTAAAATATTTTATATTAATCTTTTAATACACACACTGCAATGTTTTTTCAGTCTTTTTTATTTTATTTTATATTAACTGAAGAGTTCTTAATATAGCAAATACTTCTGTGACCACATTTATCAAATGAAAGCTTAGAGTTATGAAGTTTCCCAATTAATGTTGCATATGCTATAATAACTAGTTCAGTGTTATTCCCCCACCCACCCACATACACCACCCACACACACACACACACACACACACACACACACACACACACACAAACGAATGCAGCATTGCAGAAAAAGCTACATATAAAACATAGTTCAGCCAGGCGTTGGTGGCGCACGCCTTTAATCCCAGCACTCGGGAGGCAGAGGCAGGCGGATCTCTGTGAGTTCGAGACCAGCCTGGTCTACAAGAGCTAATTCCAGGACAGGCTCCAAAGCCACAGAGAAACCCTGTCTCGAAAAAAAAAACAAAACAAATAAACAAACAAACAAACAAAAAACATAGTTCAATATGGTTACCACAGGGTATGTCTGTAATTACAGCTACCCAGGAAGCTAAGCCATGAGGTTTGCTATTGCTAGTTCAACACCAGTCTAGACTTGACCCAATATGACCTGTCTCCTAATAAGAGTTTTTAAAGGGCTGTAGATGTAACTCGGTGATCTTTACGTCTATCGATGGATGGATGGATGGATGGATGGATGGATGGATGGATGGATGGATGGATGAATGGATGAGATAGATGGATGGGGGAGATAGAAGGGAAGAAAAGAGAAAGACAAACCACATCAACATTTCAATCACCACAGAACTTTGATATGTAACTATCATTTTAACTATTATGTTGTCCAAAAATCATTTATCTCCCTAACTAACAATCTATCAATTTCCCACCTTTTCCCTGCTTTTGGAAACAAGGTTTCACTATGGAGCCAAGGCCAGATTTGAATTCTCCATCCTCCTCTACCTCAACCTCCCAAATGCCGGGCGTTAAGTTCCTCCCTACCTCTCTCATTCTCATTACCTGAACTCTAATCCATGCCTAGGATTCTTGCAACACATAAACTGTTCTTTGAGCTTTCAGTTTGATTCAATAGTCCTTTAGCAGGGCTGGACAAAACAGAACTGAGAAGCAATAAGCAGAAGACAGCCACTGGCCAGTGTTCAACAGTTTTAAGATAGGCATCAAGTACTGAAGTTTTGTCTTTAATTTTTTATTATGTTCAACTTATTTTGAGTGTCAGGGGACAATTTCTGGGAGATTGTTCTCTCTGCCCACCACGTAGATCCTGGGAATGGAACTCAGGCTGTGAGACACGTTTATCCGATGAACAATCTCACTCCTCATCAAGAATTACAGCTTTAAACCTAAACTCTGCTTCAAGATAGACCTTCATGTGGAGGCCAGAGAAAGATGAGGGTCCTGCTCTACCAGATTCCATTGAGACAGTATCTACAGAACCTGAACCTCACTGTGCGGCTGCTAGGCTGGCCGGGTGAGCGCCAACAATCCTCCTCCTCCTTCCCTTGCAGCACTCCTGCCACAGGCTTATGAGGCCATGTCAGTTTCTGCAGGGGGCACAGGATCAAAACTCAGGCACCCATGCTTATGCACTAAGAGTCCAACCCCCAAATCAGCCTTCCTTAAGTATGACTTTCCCTGTCACTCTCCATTTCTAAGAACCTAAGACCAAAGTCAAAGGACACCATCATGTTCTAGCCAAACACCTTCACTCGCCCACACTCGTGTTCTTTCACAATTCCTCACTATGACTCCCTTACAACAGAAACCACTGGTATTTCCTAAGCATTTTCAGCTCC